AACGAACTCCGACAATGAGCTCTAGTCGGGGAGTTCAAACTGCGCCTCATGTTGAGAGCCTAAACGTCAAAGGGTGAGAGAACCAAATGGGCGTGGTGCCATTTTTATTCTAGTCTCTTTTGCGCTCTCCAACCACACGCCATACCATAGAGGGGTGGCATGGCCGTTTGGGGCGGACCTCGGCTGCCCGCATTAAGTTGTGCGGCACTGTCCAAGGCGAGGGGCTTGGCGTGGTATCCGGTGGAGTCCGCGTCCACCACGGGGCATTGACAGCGCCCCGCCGAAACATTACAACCGTTTCGGGACTAACTGCGAGGTCTTCGTAACTGCACTCGCAAACTAATAGAGAGCCCCAACTCTCTTGAAAGGAAGAGGCCGGATCCATAAAAATTACCACTCGGGAGGAACGATTCGCGAGGGAAGCTCTTATGGCAAGACGGGGCCCTGGGAGGCTTGGACTGGACCTACCTGCCAGAAGTGAGGAGGAACCTCATTGATGGTGCTCGTCTCGTAATAGCAAAAGGTCGGACTGAATAGAAGGATGAGGCGTCACCCGCTGGGGAAAAACTGATCACTCTTCCTTCATGAAGCGGATGGGCTTGCTTCCTCGACTGCAGTCGGCAGGCCAAAGGTCTGCGTACCTCCGAGTGAGAACCAGTCGTGCGATGGGGACATCGCATTTTGAGCGGGGGGAAGGTGAGCCATATACCTATGAACCAGTGTGAATCTGAAGATGTTTTTTTTACCAAAAGGACAACCGAGAATGGAAATTGGAAGTGTTCCCAGAAATGAAAGGGGCGCCTAAGAATGAACTTTGAGATGGATATTGGTTGAGAAAGCAGTCGAGATGGACTGAGAATGGTATTGGCATGAAACGTTGTCGGGTTATGGCTGAGGTAGCAAATGAGAAAGGACCCGAAACGTTTCAAGACATGGCTGAGATAAGCAAGGGAATGAGCTGAGAATGGACCCGAAAATAGCTATTGACTGAGAAAAGCAATTGAGCTGGACTGGGAATGTGCCTTGGCATGAAATGTTTTCGGGTTATGGTTGAGGTAGCAAATGAGAAAGGACCCGAAACGTTTCAAGATATGGCTGAGGCAACAAGAGAATGGGATTGGATATGGACCAAGAAATGGGGAGGGAAATGGACCATGGAATAGACCTGTGAATGGACTCGGGTATGGATTTGGAAATAAATTTTGAGTATGAACTCGGAAACGAGTTTAGGTACGAATTTGGAAATGGGCTTGAGACTGGACTTGAAACGACCTTGGAAAGGAACTAGGAACGGAATATGGAAATGATTGAAGAACCAATAAGGAGGGGCTTGGAAATAACTCATGATGGGACGACGGGATGGCAAGGCTCGGGGAAGAGGCAGGGGCAGCAAGAAGAGGAAGGACGAGAGAAGGCTTGATGGATGAGAAGAGGGGAACTGAGAGAAGGCTTGACGTACTTCGGGTGATGAATGAGAAGAGGGAAGTCGAGAGAAGGCCTGACATACTTCGGGTGATGAACGAGACGAAAGGAGGCCTGATGTGCTTCGCGTGATGAATGAGACGAAAGGAGGTCTGACATACTTCGGGTGATGAACGAGACGAAAGCAGGCCTGATGTGCTTCGGGTGATGAACGAGACGAAAGGAGGTCTGACATACTTCGGGTGATGAATGAGACGAAAAGGGTTTGATGTTTTAAGAGTGATGAATGAGGCGAGAAGGGTTTGATGTTTTAAAAGTGATGAATGAGCCGAAAAGGGTTTGATGTTTTAAGAGTGATGAATAAGACGAAAAGGGTTTGATGTTTTAAGAGTGATGAATGAGACATGAGATAGTTTGACCTTACATACCTCTCCCCTCTCCAAGGCCGAAAACTAGAAGAAACACGAGAAAGGAACGGGAAAAGACAAAAAGGACCCTGGCAAGCTAACCACTTATCTCACCCCACTTCCCCTTCCCCGTTTACTTCTCCAAAGTCCCTACTGACTGAGGACTGGTGCGCGATGAGGACATCGCGAATGAGTGGGGGGAATGTGTCGGGACTAGTGGGTCCCGAGATAAGTCTTGGCCTTTGAGAGGCAGTATACCGCAGAACTGTGCACGGCAGAGAAAACCGGAGGCAAGAAGGGTAGAAAGGCTAAGGGCAGTCGTACTGGCACCTTGGGGATTTAGAGGTTGCCCTGGGTCGTCGGAACCACTGGACCAAGGAGAGACTAGCGGAACGGCGAGCGGCAAGAGATCGTAAGAAATTAGCAAAGGCGGTCGTTCCCCCAAAAAGGAGAAGGACCGCCAGGGAAAGTGGTGTCATAGGTTGCACACCGCAGGGAGAAAAGAATTGAAAAGAAAATAATAAGTAAGGTGCCGACACGTGAGGATGTAGCCCGGGCCAAGAGGGCCACCGGGATGCGTCGTCAAGAAGGCCGAGGGGCCATGGGCCAAGCAAAGAGCCACAACCGAAGAAATTGGCAGACGGAACGTGAGGAAGACAAAGGAAATAAGGCCACCGTAAGGGGGAAAAACTTCAAGGGAACCCGGGACCATCAACGGGACAAAGTGTCGGGGACCACCGGCGGGTCAAAGTGTTGGGGACCACCGGCGGGATAAAGTGTCGGGAACCACTGTGAGGAAGACAAAGGGTCGGGGACCACTTGTGGGACAAGTACCGGCGGGACCACCGACGGGACAAGTACCGGCGGGACCACCGGCGGGGCCACTAGCGGGACTAGTGCCGGGGACTAGCGCAGACAAGTGGTGGGGACTTGTGAAGTCCCAAGGAAAAATTGTGGCGCGACAAGAGGTGCAAATAATTAAAGCAAGCCGCACCGTCAAGATTGGCCAAGAATATTAGCGCCACTAGCATAAGCACTAGCAGGAGCAAGCGGGAAGGCCAAAAGAAAAAAAAAAGCAAAGAAACAAGTGATGGGAGGCATGGGAGCAATCAGAAAAATCTCGGATTGGCCTCCCCCAAGAAAATGGAGTCAAAAGGGACTCCATGAGAAAAATGGGCCTCCGGGAGAAAATCGGAATATGAGGGCCTACCGTTTGGAAGGGATAGAGGCAAATGGAGGCTCTCATGGGCATGGGAAGGCCACAAGTGCAGCCCGAGAAATAACGGACTGGCCCTTGAACATGGGAAGGGCCAAAACTAAGAAGAAGAGCCTAGAAAAGGGCCTTAACGGCTAGTTGACACTTGGCATGCAAAGGAAAAAGAAAAAGAAAAAGGAAAAGAAAAAGAAAAAGAAAATTGGAGGTGAGAGGGAATGAGTGAGTTGGCCGTCAGTAGGGACTGCAGCAAGTAGGGACTGGCAAGTCCCTACTGTCCACAAGTGGAGGGAAAAGAAAAGAAAAAGAGAAAAGAAAAGAAAAGTCAAAAGGGCACTAACAGCCAAAAACGGTTCTCTCACATGTGTGGTGTATGATGGGATGTCGCATCAGTCTCTGATAGGTCAGGTCATATCTTTGAGTCTTCCGCTGCGCTACATTGTGCTATTTTCATATGTATCTGGATGTACATTGCTCGGTGATGCTTTGCTGACACTGCATTGTCCATTAAGCAGCAACTATACAAGTGCAAAGTGAGTGACTGTATTATTGCCTTTTTGAAAGGGATCATGAATAAAATAAAAATGAATTTGTTTGGAGAATAATTAGTATGATAATTGCTTTTCAATTTGCTTTATTTGCACTAGTAGCTATTTCTTTTATTCTGGTTGTTGGTGTACCAGTTACCTTTTCATCACTTTACGGATCCTTGGATCCATATACATCGTTCAGCTGAGCATGTATCAAGATAGAGGAGGCGGGTGTATTCAGGCATTGAGCCAGACTAGAGAGCAAGCAGGGCGAGAGAGGAAGGGAATGAGAGAGTGAGAGGTGCGAGGCAGCAAGAGAGAGAACATAGACATGCGTGAGGGAGAGTGAGCGTGTACATACATGAGAGAGACGAGGGGATTGGCAAAATACCTACCTTAGTTCTGTTGGTTGCTGGACGTCGCTGGGCTGAAGTAGAAGTGGCCAAAATTTTCAGCTTTGTGAATTTCGTAATAAAACAAGTTGGTTGTTTCCTTTGCTATCCTCTACTCATGCATGTTTGGAAACTTTGCCGGACATTCTCTGTTGGTATTGGCGAGCCTTTCTGCTGTCACTTGCATGTGAGATCATTGTGGGGCTCTCTGGGTGCGCTGATTTGAGTTTCATCATTCAGTTTGTGGTGTGAAATCTCACATGAATGTTCCACTTGTGCATGCTTGAGTTTCAGTGTGGAATTGAGAGGATCATTGCATTTTAGTTGGATTGCCTGCTAATTGTGGACTTTCATCCCCCCCTGTCTGAGTTCTCAGTCCAGTGCGCCAATCCCCAATATGTGTAATGTCTAGTCTCATTAGAGGGGTCAAATGCCTGGTATCTCTTGGTTTCAATAGTCTAGCACTTATGTGTTGTCCAGGCTCCATGATATAATCTGGCCACAGAGCATACTCCACTGGGGCCTTAGCTTAGCCTGAGGGATGGATGCCATTTGCACTAACGCTGTATGAGGTCAACCATGGATTGATTGAGCACGAACCCGATGCATGGAGGGCAGCAATGAGAAGTGAGAATACATAGACTTCAGTCCAATCTAACCAGGACTGAAAATCAGTTTTCGGGTCTTTTAAACCGCTTCAAAATGTTTTTGTTATTTCAACAAAAAATCAGAGCAATTGGGCCAGATTCTGCTGAAGTCAGAGTTCATATTTGGTTACCTGAAGCTCATGTAGAAGCACCCACCGTTGGATCTGTTATCTTAGCGGGAATTCTCTTAAAATTGTAAAGGGGCAGGCAGGGTGTGAACTTGCGATCAAGTTGAGATTTGATGTAGTTTATTGACATTCGGAAAGGAGTAGGGAAACAGATCAAATCGTTTGGAGGAGAGGACTTAGGCCGTGGGTAATGTTTCTGACAAGTTCGCTAATGGGTGTTTGGTTGTGCGGTGATGTTTGGTTGTGGTGATTGTTGTGCAGGCGCACTTTTGAATGGCAAAGACACGTCAGCAAGCACTGGCCGGGCGGACTCTATGGCTTCACCCTCAGTCAAGTATGCTGGTCTTTGACCGTCTTTCGCCTTTTCTTTTGTCTTTTTCATTTTTTTTTCTAAAATAAAGCCCAGATTGTTGTAGAGGTCAGATTCAGTCAGCAGCCAAGCTTACTTGGTAAGGCGCACAAGTGGGTGACCATAGTAGCTGGACAGTATTGGCAACTAGGAGGGACGAGGGAGGTTGGAGGCTGCTGCGACGAGGAGTTTGGAGGCTGTGGTCGATGAGAAGGGACGATGAAGGATGAAGGAGGGACCAGGGAGGACGCTGACGAGGAGGGAGGAGGGAGGATCCAGGACACAACGGTGGGAGACAGCGGGAGGACGTAGTGCCAAGAGGCATTGGCAGCAGCAGGACACAGCAGCGGGAGGCACCATCCCTCTCTCTCTCTCTCTCTCTCTCTCTCTCTCTCTCTCTCTCTCTCTCTCTCTCTCTCCACCATGCCTCCGCCTTTCTCCATCACCGGCCCTTCCTCCCTCCTCACTTCTCCATCCGTCCTCCTCAGCGGTGACCTTCCTCCATCATCGCCGCCTCCTTGCTCCCCCGACATCTCTCTCTGCCGTCACCTGTCTTCCCTCCTGCTCTTCCTCCTTTACCTTCCTCCAGGTGTCTTTTAAATTGTTTTTCAGAGTTTTTCTTCGAACGATTGATTTGAAACCATTTTCACCCTTTGCCGACACAGATGCGGATCCCAGGGATCGATCCCCAGACCTCACCTTACCTTACCTTACTTGTGTACAGTGTCAAGTCGACCCTGTGAGTCTTGAACCCGTGACCTGTGTGTTAGTAGTTGAGAGTTGTTTGTCGTAGGTCTGAGTAGTTGTCGGGTCTTGAACCTTAGAACTGTCGAAGTAGGGGTCACACCTGCATAGGGGTCATACTTGTCGAAGTTCTGAAAGGTCAAGGTCGCAGCTGCTACAGTCCTGAAAGGTCAAGGTCGTAGCTGCTACAGTCCTGAAAGGCCGAGTCCGCAAACTTCCGGAAGGTCCGGAAGTGGCCTTTCAAGTTTCTTCTCACGTTATACACAACAGACCAGAGGCAAGTGTTGCATACCGTATAGGTGCAGACCAGAACAAGAACCGACCTTTCAATACAAAGTATAARATAGCACAGCGGAAGACTTAGATACCAATGATCCGAACAATCAATATTGCAATKCAGCCCCAAACATACATCATCATCATCATTCCATGGTGTGAAGGGGTYTGGCGCTTCACACTGGAAGACTGCGCCAGCCCCAACCATACACAGACGAAGGAGATGGGGGTTAGACGAAGAAGAGGGGAAGATGGGAATGTCGTCAACACCAAGTGTTCAGCACAGGCCCAAATAGTCCCTCGTCGAAATGTCTGAATCTGTAGCATATCAGAAAGTGAAATGCACTAACAGCCTAGGATCTAGCAATGATGAAAGTGGCAACAACCAGCAGCATAGATGCAACATTCACCAGATGTCAATGTGCACAATGCAACAAGTAAACCAACGAGAAAAACAACAACAACACATTTGCATCATCATCATCATGGGCTGGGGAACAGCGCAGCGGAATAATAGTAACCAAGAGGACACGCGGACAACAACAGGAAAGGGAGAAACTTCGGAAGGGCAGGACATTAGAGAGATTGCCCTTCCGCTCACACACATAGGGAGAGATCCATAGACATGCGAGAGAGAAGGGGGGGAGGGACATAGGAGGTAACCAAGTCCAACCCAAGTCTGATCTCCGAATGTCGTGCACAGTTCAATCCCAATGTAGCGTGTAAGTCCGGTCTGAATGTYGTGTCCAATAAGGCAGAATGCCGTGCCCAAACAATGTCTGCAGTCACCTCTATCTCTACTCTGATCAAGACGAAGAAGAAGAAGAAGAAGTAGAGGAAAGAACTGTGGAGGAGTAGGAGGAGAAGAGGAGAGGAGAAGAAGAAGAAGAAGAAGAAGAAGAAGAAGAGGTAGAAAGCTGGGCGCTTTCTGCACTTACCTGGCGATGGCTGAACTGCAGATACCGCGGAGCCAGCTATGGCGCTGGCCCAGGTGAGCTCTCTCCCTCTCTCTCTCTCTCTCTCTCTCTCTCTGGCGCTGGACTCCTCCAGCGCTGGACCTTCCTTGCTGATGAGCAGCGAAGCTGCCGTCCGAATAGCGCAGCGGGGAGGCTGAAATAGCGCAGCAGGGAGTCTCCAAAATAGCGCAGCAGCCAAGTCTTGAACCAGCGTAACGCTGGATTTCTCCTGGTACCTCCCTGCTGAACTGGGCGCTGGCCCAGCTTAAGTAGTGCTGGGCCGGACCMAGTAGTCCAYGGCCTGCAATCTGGGCYGTGTAGATCAAAGCCTGATCCGCGGTCCAGATCGCAGGCTTCAGTCCTTGGCCAAAAAAACGGCCTGCCTGGGTCCCTACCGGACGTCCAGGCCCTGCCTAGGTCTGGCCGATTTGGTACCGGGCCCGATTCAGGGCCTGTGCAAATGCATCAGGCCTGATCATCTGTCCAGGTCCAAAGTCTGTCCGAAAACGAGTAAAGGTCCAAACGTCTGGCCAAAAAGGAGTAAAGGTCCAAACGTTTTTCTGAAAACGAGTAACGGTCCAAACTGAATTAGAGGCTCAGCCTCTGGGMCTGATTCCGGCCCTGGTCCTAACTGTGTACCTGGCCACAAAACGGACAACAGCACATTAGTAAAAACACCTCAGTAAATAAATAAATAAGAAATCAACTTAAAGTTGAAGTCTTTCCGATGCAGGCCTAAGTGAAATGGCCGTAGGGCCTCCAGGTTGCGGTGACGCGACCTGGGGGCCCTTATCCAACCTCGGGTCCCGTGAGGGGCCCGTGTGGAGGCTCTCAGCATGTAACAGAATCCCAAAGGTCGAGTCTGGATCCAATGCCGTCAAGTCTGAAGTCACAACTCTCTCTCTCTCTGTAGTAGTCCGCTGATACTGAGAAGTCAGGTGGTGAGAGGGGAAAAAGAGATGGTGGACATAGAGGAGGAAGAGGAAGAACTCTCTCTCTCTCTCTCTCTCTCTCT